CTGCATTAGTTTATTTCCTAAACATCTGCATGCAAACAGAACATCTGGGTCATTTTACATTACTTCTTTTACTGGATACACAATTTCATGGAAAGGTGAGCTTGATGTGAGCTTCTTACTGCTCCTAATAGCCTCTGAGTGAGACATTACTGCTAAATAAAAGGGAATATGTGATTGCCTGAGCTGCCATCGCGCTGCGTTATGTCGAACATGAATCTGTGGCTGCTCGCTGAGCTCATTTTACAGCCCGGCAAGCGCCTTATTTGTTTACCCTAAATGTGTTATGGTTGCAAAACACACAACGGCTCCTTTTGATGAAAACAAATCAATTTCAACCCATTAGATCGGGTTTAAAGCATGGAAGAAATATTAAATAAAAATGTTAACAGTCTGCGAATACCTCTGCTTGGAATGTTTGGGAGATTTATTTAGAGGCAGGACAAAGGTGTTTGTGTTGGCATGAAAAGGACAGCCTCTATACCCTCTCCTCCATTTTTCTTCCAACAGAAAGCAGAAATATGTTAAATATGCAGCAGTGTGACCTTCGTACATAGATCAGGGTTTATTTTTAGGAAAGGTGCCTCCCTCCCTTGCGCCACCCTCCTTTTTTCATTATCTATATCAGGGCTGGCATGTGCAGAGATAATGGCTGAACATCTGGCTTCCACTCACTAGCAGGGTGTGGATAGGTGTCTTGTTTGAAGAGCTTCATGGCCAAAAAAGGCAATCATAAAACCTAACTCTATCAAGATGTGAATGCCTCATTTAGGAGAAACCTAGCTTTGGGTAATGGTGACACAAATCGGGGAAGCAAAGGCACCCTTCACCAATCAAACTGATAAAATAAGGTTTCTACCTTGGAGCAGATAGAAGTTTTAGGTCTGTTTTTGCGCCATTAAATTACATTTCCAGTAATGAACGCCTATAGCAAATTTAAATCGGAGCCTGGGGTAAAAACAGCAGAATGTAAAATGATTGAAAATCCTGCATTATTACTAAACAGAGTGTTACATCAGCACATAGCTTCTAATAGCATAGTGTGTTATTATTGCTAAAACCTGCTAATCTGGGATCAGTATTCTAGATACCTTCAGGAAAGCAGAACAGTGCATTATCTATGTGGATAAGTAATTAAAAATATGTTTGCATTTAGGCGGCTCAGTGGAGCAGTGAGTAGGGCTGCTGCCTTGCAGCAAGAAGGTTCTGGGTTCGATTTCTTTATGGAGTTTTCATGTTCTCCCTGTGCTTCCCCCTCACAGTCCAAAAAACAAAACTGTTAGGTTAAATTGGATTCTCTAAATTCTCCTTAGGTGTGAGTATGTGTGCATGAATGGTTGTTTGTTTTTTGGCACACATGCCGTTAATAATCCATGGAATGTAATATGGTCTATTTTATCCGTTTGCAGCAATAATTCCAAAATAATGTATTAATCCCAAAGGGAAATTCACTCATATGTTATTTTTTAAACAGGTATTGTAGGTGTTGATAGCTGTAGGCAGGATGTATCTTCTGTAGCAGTCTGTCTTGCACCTGATCTGGAGAAGCCTCTGACTGAAGACACACTTGTTTAAAGATCTTCTGAAGAGGATGCTCACTGTCGTCCATCATTTTCTTCACTCTATGAAGAGTTCTTCTTTGTGAAATAATCTCCAGAGGTTCTAGAGGAGTTCCTAGAACAGAGCTGGCCTTCTTGATTAGCTTCTTAAGCTTTTTTAAGTCATTAGCTCTAATACTGTTACCAGGCTCGGACTGGGAAGGAAGCCAGGAAGACACCCACTCTCACATACAGTGGCGTCACTGACTCATGTTTTTCAGCCCAAAAAATGTTCTTAATCAGCCTGGATATACAAAATCTTACCCAATTTGAACCAAAGTCTATTGATCTGGTAGGCCATAAATCTAAAGATAAACCCCATCATGCACCGCAACATATTTTTGCAAAATATTTGAACATTAATTCGCCAAATAGGAAAGTAACACCGTAGTTTGGTTTAAAGAAAGCATTTTAATTTTATTATAATTATAATTTATTTTTTGCAAGGATTTTACAGTTTGAAGAAATAGGATTTTACAGTTTGAAGAAGTAGAGAATTACACCATATGCCAACCGTCATAAGGATGTGTATGACAAAGAAGGGCTATATATACTGCATGCATCATTTGGGAAGTTAACATTGGATGCCCGGTATCACAGATTCGCAGTCCGAGCCTGACTGTTACCTTAGCAGAGGATGGAAGAAGAGCTCACACTCTCCACAACAGACTTATAAAAGATACGTCGGATCATGCTGCAAATGCTGCCGGACCTAAGCTTCCTTAGGAAGTGTGGTTGGAATGGAATAAGTGGATCAATTCTCCTGAAAAAGATTTCTTCGTGCTTAAAGTATTAATGGGAGCATGTCACCATTGATCCATTTGTGAGGTCAGAAAATGATGTTGTCAAGATGATACTCCCATAGTTAATCCCAAAGGAGTCTGTGAAGCCCTGTCTGCACCAAATCATCTCATCTATGTCTTTATGGCCATAGCTTTGGGAACTGATATGCAGTCTTTTTGGGGGAAAAGAGGTTGTGCCAAAACAATAAAGTGTACAGCATTGCATCATATAACTGTTTCCAAAGAGCTTAGAGCATTGAATTATCCAAATTCTCTTTGGATGCTCAAAGATCAACAGTTTATTTCACTGGAACTAATTGACCGTGGGTCGATTCTAGAAAACAGCCTCATACTATGATCCCTTCTACACCAAACCACACTTGATACAATGCAGTCAGGTTTGTGTCTTTTCACAGGCAAATGCCAAACCCAGAGTAGTCCATTTAATTACTCTCCAGCCCAGTGTCGGTGTGGATACTTTCTCCGCACACTCGGTTTTACAAGTAGCTCAAACCAATAATCGTTAGTGCAAACAACACACCCACACTGTCAGACCTCCCACACTGGTGTGTTTGCTGCTGGCTGAGCCTGCAGCTTTACCCTGCTCATAATTTCTACCTGAACACCATCTCTACATGTTAGTAGTGTATCCTACAAATTCTGCAAGGTGGACTACCCATGGATCAATTGATCTAAAAAGGGTCAGATTTGGAGAGTGCACTTCTTTTTGCTTTCAACAGCTTCTTCAATCTGAGTTGTGAAACTCTGTTGCTCCTTTTAAATTCTTGTTTTGCTCTACCTCCATCTGTCAGTTAAGGTGAATAGCTTTGTTTTGGTGGGATTGTTAATATGACAATAAAAACAATGGGTTTAATTTGCTTTGAGATGTTAAAAATTGTATGTATAGTCTATTTTCCTTTCTCTTGATTGTTAATAGCTTAATAATCCTGTTTGTTCAGTAATGTTCTTAAACTCTGCTCTTAACTAATTTTACCTTCTACAATGCACTTTTTTTATGTTGTTCTATTTATTGATTTTTACAAAAAAATAAAATGTTACCAGAGTTAGCCACAAGGTAACATCTGCAAATTAGTTCACTGGATTTTGGATTTTGTCTATAGATAGATAGATAGAGAGAGAGAGAGAGAGAGAGAGAGAGAGAGAGAGAGAGATAGATAGATAGATAGATAGATAGATAGATAGATAGATAGATAGATTGGAAAATAAATCGAAATCTAGATAAGTCATTTTTTCTTTACATAAGTGTATTTTTTCTTGAATTGAGGAGGTAAAAGAGACATTTTGCCAATGGAACAAGACAATGTAGATTTAAAATAAGAAAACACAATTGCATTGTCTTATTTCAACTGCGTATTATCTAATTATCTTAATTTAAGAGTAAAAATACTCATTCCATTGGCAAACTATCTAGGGGTGTGCATTGGCACTGCCCTTACGATTCGATTCGATTACGATTCACCAGGTAACGATTCGATTCAATTCGATTCTACGATGCATTGCGATGCATCGAAATCCCATTGACTTCGTAAAATCTGAAATGTGCCCAGATATCCGCTTTCCAAGCTTTTTAATTAGGCCTACCCGTCTATCGCGGTCATCTCCCTCCGCCTCAGCCATCTTGATTGTTGTTGGTATGCCCCCGGAAGTAATTGAAACTTCACAACTTGTCCATTTGAGGCCAGAAAATAAACAGTGACATAATCGATTATGGCACGTTGCCGCATCGATGCTGAATCGTGCGTGCCCCGCATTGCAATGCATCGCTGAATCGATTATTGTTGACACCCCTAAAACTATCTCATCTACCTACTTAAAATAAGGATAAATACACTTAATTTAAGAAATTCTTACTTACTTCTAAGTTGTTTTTGCAGTGTAGATAGTGTATTTTTTTTTCTCTTTTTATTCAAGGATGCTTTATTTTCTTGTATTAAACAAACTCCCTGTAAAAAAATCCTCTAAAAAAATGGTAATTTTCATTAAATACTTACTAATAAATGTTTTCCTGCTTATAGAGACACTTTTTATTATATTCACATGATACATAATGTTTAATTACATTTTTCTTTAATATATTTTTAAACCTTTGATAATGTAGTACAATCTTTTAGCTCCCGGTTTGTTCCGTACGTCAACCCCAACAAAAGAAATACAATATTGTTTTATATTTGCTCTTGTTTTGGGTTTTCTGCACATTTTGTACCCTCTAAGATCATAAGCAGTGACCCTGGGTATTTAGTGGAAACAAATTATTATTTACTTTGTACACGAATTGAACTGTTTTAAAGTAAAGAAAAAATTGTTTAATGTTTTCAGATAAATAAAAAGTTGGTTTGTATGCTTTCTATAATCTGTTCTATTAACAATTAGAATAGCTCTGCTTTGAATTATGAACAAAGCGTTTAATTTAGTCATATAGGTGTTACCCCACCCTTCATTGGGTCCGGCAAAACTAAAGATAAGTAAATATTTCTATATACTGTTCGTTATCTGTATAAATTTAATATCTACTTTATGTTTTGATGCTTGAAAATACGTTTTCAAGGACTGAGGTCGAATTCCTTCCCGTGCGCGCTCCCGCCCTCATGCCTGTGATAGCAGGGTGACGGTTTTCTCCACAACACCGGAAGTGCTACTGTTAGCGCTCGCGGTGTTTCCCTGCAGCGTCTCTGATCTGAGCCGAGCGCGTTCACACCTGGTGGGACGGAGGCGAGCCGTTTGGCGACAGACGCAGGCAGGTGAGTCTCTGTCAGTTTTTAACACACTTTTCTGAGTTTTTACATGTGAGTTCATGATTCTTTATTGGAGACGAACCGAAGCAGAATGACTTAAAAAGTTTTAAAACTTCAAACCTCTTTGAAGAAAGCGCGTTCTTCCATAGGCTTTACTTACGGCAGAAACAAGTTGGCTTGTTAAACGTTTAAAAAACACTTAAGTTTTGTTCATAAGGAGGCTGACTTTGTTTTTCTCCAACCTGTCAACAGCTCCAGATTTAATCACTTGAGGAATGTGGTTTCATTAGGAGGACAGTCCAAACCTGGATGTTTGCATTTATTTCAACTTCGGCGTAACTTTCACCAATTTCCAGGTATGGCTACGGGCGGGTTTAAGTCAAACGCAACCACTGACTTTTTGGAGGAGTGGAAAGCGAAACGGGAGAAAATGAGGGCTAAAATGCTGGGGGACATAGCAGCGGCCACTGGGGTCCCCATGAGCCCCAGCAGCAGCAGCAGCAGCCGCGCGCCGCCGGGCTCCGAGCCCAGCGCCAACCCAGACCGGAGCGCCTCCGCTGGGAACTGCCGCACCTCCTCCACCACCTCCTCCTCCTCCACCACAGTTGCTCGGTCCCCCTCAAGCGGAGCGCTGAACAGACCGGAGGAAGAAGAAGCGCACCTCCCGGCCGCAGCCCCCACCGCCCAGGGGAGCAACCTGAAGAAGGCCCCGCCTCAGATGGAGAAGGCTCGGTGCGCTTCTCCGGACTCCAGCTCCATGATGGCGTGCAATGACAGCGACAAGGACAGTCCGTCACCATCACCCAGCAAAGGGAAGGAGAAGAAAAGCTCTGGTCCCAGTGCAAGGAAGGGCAAAGGACAGATAGAGAAGAGGAAGTTAAGGGAAAAGAGGAGATCAACAGGTGTAGTCAGCATACCGTCCAATGAGGTGAGTCTGACAAACTCATCTAAACCTGCTTCATCCACACACCAACACCTCTTCTAATAAGTGTATGCCTGCAACTAATAATTAATTGATTAATTGATCAATCTGTTTATTATTTTCATCGATATCAGATTGCAAAATGTTCTTTAATGATGATTTTATACAGAATTTAAACCAGGTTAAGCTTAAACTAGTGGCATGTTTTAGTCTCTATGCTGCAGGAAATCAATGAATTGTTTCAACTCTAAAGAAGGTATTTAAAGTCTAGCTTTTTTTTGTTTGTTTGTTTAGAAAAATATAATGTTTTTTTACATTATCAGTTGTTATGTTTTGTAATAATTTTGACAGGAAGAAAGTTTCTATCTATTAGATCTCATCTGTCTTTCAAGTTGTTAGTATTTATAACTGCATTGCCTAATAAGCATGCCATTAAGTTCTACAGAAGCTTTAAATCTTGTCTGAGAAGGGAATAAACACCTGAAACATTCCAGCCACTGAGCAAATAACAGCAAATATGTGGAGGATGGTACCTTAAACACACCAGGGGGAAGTACGGTGATGGGAGTATCATGCTGTGGAATGCTTTTACAGATGCCCTTTAGATAGTCTCACCCAGATTGAGCTATTTTGCATAAAATGTGTGAAATGTTCAGTTTCTAAAGGTGGAAAAGACCCAACCCTAAAATAGTACTGCGGTAGTTAAAATTGTTTCGAGGGTATTTCCCAAATGGAGTAGAATGTAAACACATGCTATTTCTTTCAGCTCAACATTTTGTAGGAAACAGAAAAAAAAAAAAACTCTAAAGAAAGTTTATTAATTTTGTTTTTGTCTCACATAAAAACCCTTAAGTTTGTGGTAATGTGACGAAATGCAGAATTCCTTTTAAGGTGCTCTTTGGAACCTGTTCATTTAGCTTAATTTTTGTTGCATGTTTTCCAACATTGTAGGAAGTCATGAACGATATTTTCTGAAAGTTTAAGTTTATGTTGCACAGAATTGGGGGACTTTTTGGGAAAAGTGTTACTTAGAAATGTTATTCCTCAGAATGGTGTGTGTAACACTTTCATAAATGATTTAAAGCAAAGAGCAGCTCTTGTTTTCCCCAAAAAAGTCTCCAAATTCCTCTCATACATGTGTCTGGTTTAATCGAGCCTCTGCAGCGGGAAGGGGGCGGTATCTGAGAGGGAAGGAGGGGAGTCATGTTTGCATTCATTGTTTTTGAATTTAAATCATGTCGCACTCCTTTGCCTGATTCCTGTGGTTTAGACACATGCAGGAACTCTGATATGGAGCTGAGCCAGTCGACCTAGTGAGGGCCACCGCTGTGATTATGTTCTCTAAAAGCACTCGACTTATACACACATTCTGGAAGCATGTGCTTTTTTTCTCACTAAGGTTAGAAGTGCACCATAACCTTCCTATTTTCCATTTGTTCTCACATTTACAACTCACCAATCTGAGCTCTCTGGGTACCTAAATATTGCAGTGTGGTGCTCTGTATCCTATTATCAGATACTCATGAGTAAAAAATGTTGAAGACTTTTAATGCTGGCCTTCAGCAAACAAGCTTTGCCACATATCTTAGATATGTGGTTCCCAACATCAGGGTTTGGAGACTTTGTAGGACAGAAACCATCTCGAGTAAATGTTTTTAAAAACATTCTAGTGATAACAGTTTTATTGTAATTCAAGTAGATCCTTTTTTTTCTCCAATCTGATAGCGATACCTGCGCTGACCTTATAGGCTGATATCCGATACTTGTCCGATTCAACTGTTGGATAAATTAACCATATAGCTAGACATGAGAGTGAAAGCTTTAGCCTTGACAAAAACATAGTTTAAAAGAAGGTAACAAATTACAATAAAAATAGTGCAATACCATAACAAATTGATAATGAATATAAATCGCATTTAAATTATTTACTTTCAAATGAGCAGCAAAAGAAATAACAGTTCATTGTAAAGTGCACTGTATTGGGTATGCGATATCAAAATACAAATATCCTATCCTACAAGTCAGAATAGGATCCGATATCCAATTCAGCTAATTCTTCAATATAGGATCTGATAGGAGCTAATATCCGACCCAGCTAATTAGTAGGGATGGGGATCGTTAATATTTATTGATATCGATACCTTTATCGATACTCCTTATCGATCCGAGTCTTTATCGATACCACTATCGATACTTTTCTGTTATTTGGTGGAAAGACGATGCAACAAAATTTTTTTAACAGAACTGGTATTGCTTTTATTGCTTAACAAGTGAGCATAACAAAAACGTTTCTAGCCTTCAATAAACATGGCTAATGTAATAGGCCACTTCGAAATGACATAAAACTAACTAGAATGTATTTTCACAATTGTTGGTTAATGTATTGTCTACTGTCACTTTTCATCATGTTTTTAGTGATTAGGAAAATATTTACCAAATAAATAATTGTATTTTAAATTAAATTAAATTTTTTATAAATGTTGGCATCAGTAGTTTAATTATATATAGAGCAATATACAACTGTATTACTCATGTTTCTCGCCAAAAACAAAATTTCCCGTTTTCTTTACGTTACACTTGAACGCATCATGATAACCTAATTGTCGTTTTACTGAGCCAATCTGAACACATCATCACGCAGCACGTCTGAAACTTTATTTACTTTTCAAGCTAACTAGCTTGTATGCTGCCGATTACAAGACGGATTTCACAATTACTATTTTTAACTGACCGGACAAGCTACAAAGTCGGTGTGCGCGCTTACCAGTGGCATTCTGAGTGGATGATTAAGATGGGCCCGACTGTGGTGCGGCGGCAGCAGCAGGAGGAGGAGGAGTCTTTTCCGTTCAGCCATTCTCGAGTCGCGAGCAAAGTTAAGTGCCAGACTTCACTTGTTTTACTTTTAATATCTGTTTGCTTACAATTTCATTCCAAAACATTGGTGTACATGCTGCAGTGATTGGATTGATTAGATTTAAATGCTGTGACGCGACTCGAGGGACACACAATTATGTTACAGGACCTCCGGGAGAAGAAAAAAAAACGACCAGACTCGATAGTGGTATCGATAAGCCCAAACGTTATTGATTTTCGGGTTTTGAAAAAAGTGAAACCGGGTCCTTGATGGAACCGGGTTTCGATCCCCATCCCTACTAATTAGTCAGTACACTGAAAAAAAAATAGAGGTTGACAGAACTTACATTTTCTAGGCAACGTGATGCATTTGGTTTTTTGAGTTTTCTTTACTTAAATTCACTGTGGTTGAGTTTACAAAGATTTTTGAGTTCTGCCAACTTAGGTTTTTGGAGTGTTACATAGAAATTTTGAGTTCTACCAACTTAGGTTTTTGAGTTTCACCTTTAAGTTCTGAGTTCTATCAACTTTGTTTTATGAGTTTGACATATAGATTTTGAGTTCTACAAACTCAGATTTTGTAGTGTTATCTGCAAGTTGAGTTCTATCAACTCAGTTTTTTTAGTCCTACCAATCGTCTTCACTACCAATCATTCAACACACAAAAAATTATGTTAATACAACATTTTTATTGCTTCAAGCCAAACATTGCATCAATAGATACAGTATAAAACCATGTTCAACAACATAATCTTAACTGCACAGATCAAAGTAACATGACACTGGACCAGAATGTTCTAGATTCGTAAGAGTGATGATGAGGGAAAAAACAGTAAGACACCATTTTAGTAAGAGGAAAACACACAGGTAATTTTTTGTGAAGTAAGTGTATTAACATATATGAAAAAATAACAGTTTTACAAATTTGGACGGCCTTCAGTTTGTTTTTTTCAATTGTAGTCTCTTTAAATTGGGTGCACCCTTTTAAAAAAAATAAAATGAAATAAAATGTCTTGTTTCCCAACGGAAAAAGAAAAAGGTTTTCCCTTTTTATCTCTGAGTTTTTCTTTTTAGTCCTACCACTCCGACAGGACGATGAATGCAAAAAAAGAAAGTCCTCTTCAGTCCAAATCCTTCTCTTCAGTCCAAATCCAGATGTTCACACGGTTGGCTCGCCATCTCCATTTAAGGAGAGAATCCAGAATCCAGGGTATCCAAAAAACCCAGCCTGCATAGCACAACAGGGCTTAGTTAAATCCATTCACTTCTTGTTCTTAACTGTACAGTTTATATCTCTCCAAGTATGATAAATTTCAGTGTGTAATGTAACTTTTCTAACTCATTACGAATTAACTGCTGCATTACAGGGTTATGTCACTGTTTTTCTTGTAAAGCAAATAAAATCATGAAAGCAAAAAATCCACATGTAAATAATGTAAATAACAGTAAATACCCACATCGGATTAAGAAAGTAAAATAATATAGTCTTGTAATATTCTGTGCCTGAGTGCAACAACACTGCACTACATAAAACAATTTAGAAATTTAATAAGTTATTACACTCAACTTAATGTCTCTTTTCATTTGTACAATGAAAATATCAGGCACACTCTTTTCTCTATGCATAAACACTCACCCGCACATGCGCGGCACAAACACGCACGCGCACACGCGCATTATAAACGCGCACGTGCGCTGCTTTTCCTTTCATCAGAACGTGAAAAACATGTGAACTCATGCTTCAACTCGGTGGCAATACACCACAAGGGAATGCTAACTCACGGAGCTAACCGCTAACTGTCTGTACTTTGCAGCACTCACCAGGAAAACTGGTAAGGTCCCAGGGTCGTTCCTCCGTGGTTCTCCAGATGCATAAAATCACAATGTCCGCCAATCTTCTCAAACACGAGGGAAAAAGGCTGTGCCCTTGAAGAAAGGGATAGGAAACCCCGTACCGTAGTGGGCGTGTCCATGAACATAAGCAGTGCGCATGCCCATGAGTTTACAGTTGAGGGAACTCAAAAAATCTTGTATAGGCGATTTAAAACTCCTTGTTAAACCAACTTCTGAGAATTTGAGTTGGGCAAACGTGTATTTATTTGTTAGATGTCAAATTTATATTTCTGAGTCGGATTACAATACAATTGTGTGTT